GCGATAAAGCACACATGACACGTGAGACCTGAGATGAGACTAGGCGCGCGCCCGCGGAAAGGAAAGTCGGGACCCTTGATAGCGGTAAGCGGTAATTGCAGATGAAATCATTTGGGCGGAAGTGCGCTGTGCGGCGGGCGGTAGGGGGATTGTGCTTGGTTTCTTTCCTTTTGAAGGGGCGTGTGGGTTTGTGAGTTTGTGGACTTTCCCATCGTCACTCTTTTACAAATCTTTCGGTCTCTTCTATTTGTGTTTTGCGGCTGTCGAGCATCTGGGTTGTTGCTTGTCGTTATTCTTTGTTTCGTTGGGGCCTGCGCTTAGGGGGAAGAGAGTGTTGCGTGGTTTTGCGATGCTTCGTTCCTCCTCCGCGCCTGCATCGTCGTCGTCAGGTACCTCGTATTCGTCCTCGCTATCGATAACGTCATTCGTACAATATGCCTTCCTCGCTGCGCTAGCGTATATACTCGCTGGCGCGCCTTTGTCGTCGTTGCTTACTTCGAATGTGGGTGGCGATGCGGTATCGTCCAACAGCGTTGGTGCGAGAGGTGGTGGTGATGTAAAAGCCAATCTAGAGAATTTGGTGATTCCGGAGCGGAATTTGAGTTGCGCAGCGCATACATACAAGGGTGTCTATGTGCTGAGTCGGGAGCCGTTGGTGGTGTATATTGAGGGGTTTGTTGGTGAGGAGGAAGGGAAGGAGGTTGTTGCTTTGAGGTACGTCTGTTTTTGGTCGCTACTGCTTCGAGATATCCCAGGGTATAGAAAAGGACTCTGTATCCATGGGACTTGCCATGTAATAGTGATGCTGCATACTTATGGATGAAGCGAACACGACTAACAGTACAACCGCAGCAACCCCCACTTCACTCCCTCAACAGTATGGACCTCCGGCACCGAATCCTTCAAACCCGCGATCCGCAACTCAGAGAAAGCACCCTTACCCCGCAGTCAAACAGTCAAATGCATCGAAGAGCGCGCCCGCGTGTTCCAAGGGTGGCGGCCGTACACTTTCATCGAGAAACTCTGGAGCCAGAGATATGGCGTAGGAGGCCACTACACATACCACTACGACTGGAGCACTGCGACCAAGAAAAGCGGGCGCGTGAGTTCCTTCATGGTGTATCTGGAAGCAAATTGCACGGGCGGAGGCACGCATTTCCCGCGCTTGGAGAGGCCTGAGGATAAGAGTTGGTGTCGGTTTATCGAGTGTGGTGAAGATGGGGCCGCGACTGTCTCCGCGGATGGTGTTCGGCAAGAGGGAGGGCCCAAGGAGGATCTTAGCAAAGGCATCATTTTCAAGCCGATTGCTGGGAACGCGGTGTTTTGGGAGAATATGCGGAGCGATGGGACTGGATATGCGGAGAGTTGGCATGCCGGATTGCCAGTTACGAAGGGCGTCAAGATTGGGCTCAATATTTGGAGCTGGTTGGCTGAGGGGTATGTGCCTGCGGATGGAGATGCTTGAGGACTATTGCGAACAGAAAAAAGAGATGGGAGGACAATGAACAAGCCAGTATACTCGCGTTGCGCTCATCGCGTGTAGAGATGAAAGAGATCAAGCCGCGGAATGGATCTTCAAGAATAAGAGCCCTATTTATGATCGGGTAGACCTCCTCAACACGCTCAGCTACCGCCCGGTAAAGCTGTAGCCCCCCTCTGGCATCCCGTGGATCTATGGTGTTGGCGCCTTGGCACGTCCGAAAAAGGTCTGTTCGGATTCTGTCTTGTGTGGCACAAAGGCCCACTGGGCAATCGATTTTAGGCAACAGAGACCTGGCCTTATGATAAAGTCCTCTAAATATTGCGCTATCTGACTCTTCTACCTTTCCTAACCGATAGTATTGTACCTACCTTCTACAGAGACGCACCTCGCTATATGCACACAACCTCCCGAGCCATGAGCGCTGAATTCGACCAACAGCTCCTGTCAGCTATCCACTTCCCAGAATCATCGCCTGGTCGTGGCAGTCAATATCTACGCCATCTAGGACGGCTGGCGGGTGGCCGAGAAAGACACAACACCCGGGCGAAGATCCAACCAGATTATCCTGATGATGAACAATGAATACTTGCGCAATGGAGAAGCGACGTTATAAAGCATATTGATGCTCGCATCTCGCAGTTCAAGCCGGGGGCATGGAGCACGCAAATTGCGCGAGTGCATCGCCCCAAGTCGGCCGCTTCCGGACACCGAGCGCTGCGCATACCCGAGCTTCTCGATAAGATCTTAATGTTCGCGGGTCCTGCATCGCAATTATCAGCATGGTACGTTTCTTCTGGTTGGCGACGTTCAGCAAAGTCAGTCATTGGAAGTTGCAATAGTCCCACCTTCTGGAATGTACAGCCGGGTCATGTCCCTGTCGAATACGGCAGTAAAGTGGATGACTCCGCAGAGACTTGGATCGCGCCAACGCAGCAAGAACTCGATGCATTCAGCCACATCGTCAGCCAGACCATGCAGCGTGTGGAGCGTGGCTGCGCTCCACGGGACAAATGGCCCCAAGAGCATGTCAACAAAAAGATACTGTATTTTCCAGCTCGTTACACGCAGGCCCCCAATTTACCACCAGCGTTCTCCACTGTCCTCGACCACCTAGATGATGCCCAACACGCCGCCATTACATCCACATATTACATGATACAAGACCAGCCGACCTCACGCAATCCAGATCGGTACTGGCTCGACTTCAGTCAATTTGATCTGAATCCACACTTTACTGCTTTGTTCCCGTCACGCCTTAGCTGTGTGAGCGGTCGAATTGAGATCGGGCTTCGGCAGTGCAATTCCCACGAAACTGCACATGTTCTCGACCCCCTATTTTCCAGGGGCCTCACGGATTTTCTGGGATCCATGTTTCTCACTCAACCTCCGTGTCAGGTTGTGGGAATATATCACTGCGCAAACACTACTCTAGGATATCGAGGGTATAGAGAACATTGCGAGACTTCAAAGAAGGAGCTCCTAGTGCGCTTACGAAACGATGAGGGTGTCAAGGTTGGCCAGGTCTTAGCTGCCTTGATCAAGTATGCACCTCGTGTTCTTTCGGCATGGCTAGCACAGGCCGCGAGTCTGAAGGCTAAAGTTTCAAGTGGCCACTGGCAGGAAGACATATGGCGTGTTCCGGGGAGCCCACGATTTGTCATGCTGTTGGACAGTAAGACGATGAGGCAAGATTGGGTCAATGATCGAGCTCATCAAGAACGGGTCCTCAGAGCGGCGTACTTGGAGCCTTCCACTGGAGTTCATGAAGCCGTCGGAGCCATCTCGATGCCGCTTTCGGTTTGCGGACACGTTACCAGGCCGCAGTACCTAATTGCCGACGCGTTTCGCGAAGATCGACAGACGGAGTGGGTGCCAAAGGAACTCATCGAGCCTGCATCAAGCAGCATTCGCCATCCTGTCAACTGGGACATGTAGCACATTCGCGTGGCTAGGAGACGCCAGACTTTAGGCTTAAGATCCACATTTGCCAGCAAAAGCTTCGTTGGTTGCGTGTGAGGGACCTCTCATCCATCTGGAGCCTCGCTTACACATTGCTGTAGCTGTTCGTAGCCTCTGTAAAGCGTCTCATTATGTGCCCACAATGGGATTGGAGCTAATCAACGCAAGTCGTTGCATTCGTTGATGAAGATACGGAGCTTAAGCCCAATTCTCCGTCTGTTCTGTTATCCTTTTCGTTTAGTTATAGTCTCAGAAGAGTATGCGTCGCAACAGCGATTTCCCACTTTCTTTGTTGCAGTGTTTTTGACACGTGTTGGGAAGAAGCCAAGTTCTTGGGCGGCTATGAAACAAAAGTTCGGCATCACCAGCCGGTGATGCTAGTAGCGCTCCCGACCTTGAGAGGTCTCCATCCAATTTGCGATGACCTTGAGTAACATGAGATCAATTCTACCGCCCCGGTTTTCGTCACCCTTTCGAAATGAAACAGATATTGCATTGTGAGTATTTCAAGTATGCGCAGTGACCTCGTTTTGGACGTGGTGCAGAGTCCCTCGGGCATCCGCAAAGCTGACGCCAATGTCAAGCTAGGGTACATGTAGCACCCTGGAACCTGCTTTGGCAGTCTTTCCCGAGGTACGATTGTCGATGGTACCATCGAAGGTCACATGTCCTAGGTATTGCGCGGGCGGCCTTCTGCCGACCACGCCACCTTGGCGAAGGACGATATTCTGCCGGAATTTAGATTAAGGGACGCAATCTCGTGGACGCACTCGCATGTCCCATGCTTCTTCGTCAACCTCCCCTCTTTACACAAAATCCTGTCCGAAAACCTCTAGCCAGACGCTGCGAGTTCGGGATAAATTCACCAGTCACTTCCGGCGAAGGAACCTTCGTTCCAGGCCAGATAGTATCGCAAGCCTACCACGACGCGGCCGATGCGAGCAGAAGCTCTGCTGATACATCGCCTTTGCAAAGAATACCCAGAGACGACGATGTTAGCCTGAGGACAGAAGCTTTAGACCGTCTGAGATGGAATGTCCTCGCCTCACCATCGACAGTCGAAGTCGTCGACCTCAACGAAGCAAACGAGCTATGCTGGAAAACCCTGTTAACTGACCCTAATCATCCTCTTGCCGAGGAACCAGTAACCACACGACCAACTTTTCATATCAGTGTCATTTTCGTTATGGTCCGCTATTGGAAGTGCTTGGGCATGGTGGACCAGAGCCCACCACCTCTACACATTCACAATACAGACAGACGAGCAATCACTGTCGAGCAATTTGTTACTCAAGTTTCAGCGTACGCGGAAAGCTTGCGAGAGATGATTGACGAGATCGAAGATGTGAGCTTGGCGGCGGAGAAGGAGAACCGTTGCCTCTACTATTATTCCAACTATGGATTGCGGAGCTGGAATGGGGGAGGGACGGAAGACGTCTTTCCTCTCAACTTTCAGTCCTCCGTCTCGAGTTCAGCGGAAGAGTTTAGGGAACATTGGGTGAGGAGAGAACGGCTGTTCAAAGATCATCTGTTAAGTGACCCTACAAATACAGTCCACATGGCGCCAGGGTCGATAGATTTCGCCGAGGCAAGTAGGAACTTCCGCCTCACTCCTGAAGAGGTTCCTCGTGAGGAGGAGAGCCTCTTGCACACGAGTGCTCTAGACCGCCTACGATGGAACCTACTCGCCCCACCATCTACCGTTCTAATCATCGACTCCAATGAAGAGGGCGAGCCGAGCTGGCGGCCAATGCTGGTGGATCCAAAGCACCCTCTATCTGATGAAGCTGTTACCGAAGTACCGCGTTCACGAATGTGTGTAGCATTTGACATGGTCGAAGCTTGGGAGTGCTGAGAGAGGTACGATGACAATCCACCCCCACCGCCTCTGCTCATCGAGAATTCCGATGGGAAAGCCATCACTATCGAGCAATTCATCGTAAAGGTCTCTGAATACGCTCAAAGCTTGCGGGAGACGATTTTCGAATGCGAGGGTCGCGCTCTGTCGGGGTCCGAGGGCGCGTGTCTTTGGTTCGATGCGGCATTTGGACCGAAACGGAAGGATGCCGAAGATCCAGATATCTTGTTCCTCGTCGGATTCACGTCCAATTTCTGGTTCTCGAGCAGCCAAATTGAAGCGGACCATGTTCAGAAGGAGAAGAATTTTATCGAATCGCTTAAAGTAGAGCAGAATTAACGCTCCGTACTCAGCACAAATGGCTGCAAAGTAGCGAAACTGCCTTCCACAATTGTTGCTCTTGCGACGGATGGTGTGCAAGATCCACGAGCCATTGTACCGCAGAGTTTCAAATTACGTCCCACACTCCATCCGGTAGACCAATATGATGAATAGTCACTATCGAAGCGGAATGATCCGAAGGGCGCTTATGATGTTTTGCTACTGGAATGGCAAGGTGGATGTGCTGAGAGAATTGGTCGGCCAGATTCAGATCGGCGTTTGGAAGTCACTGGGGCCGGTGCGAAGACAGATCTTCAATCGCTAGACAGTCGGTATGCGTTATCAGAGTACTAGGTATGCGTTGGGAACGCTTTAGCAGTAAACAGTGTGGATAGATCAGATTGAGCGTGACGTGGAAGAATAGTACGACACTCACCGCAAAGATGTACTCACCGGAAACATGTCCAGGTAGCCTTCGCTTACAGTCCTTTTCCCAACGACGCGCGCGACCGAACAATCGTCGGAAGATAGCATCCGTTTGGTGGCGTCCAGTGAGCGAGCGTAGAGCTTTGCTTCTTTTCAACGGAGAACAGAGTGCGCCTTGGATTTTGTTCCCATCTTTGTTGCAGTCCCAAAATAGTGCATCTTGTTAGAGGAGTGTCATCTATCTGCCCAGACATCTTTCATTCACTAGTCACCCTCGTGTTTAACATCTCAATGTGGGAAGCTGCGGCCCCACGAGGTTTCCATTTCTGATCGACGCCCAGAGATAGCCGATAGTCGACCAGCCAGTCGTGCCAGCAGGGGTAGAGGCTTATCCAGAAGGAGCACGTCTACATCCGATGACTCGGGTAGACAGTGCCATCTGTTGTGAATTTAATTGCGATGGTCGTCAATAGCTCCCAGACATGTTCAAAGCTCAATAGTAGGTCGTGCCAGAGCTATACAAAGTTCATCTGCCAATCGTGAAAACATGCGCTTGTACTGGATGACTTTTGCTTCTTTCAGGCGGTCGGGGAGGCGCCAAGGCGATGGGGATACTGTCGGTGAGGCTGGTCGACGAGGCTGTCGTTTCGCTGAGTCCCTCCCGAGCCACTCGGGAAACTTCAGAGATTGCTTCTTTCGGGCGGTTGATGAGATTGACGCTGCTTACCTAGGTAGGTAGGTACGTCCACAGGTGGTGTACCCAGGTAGAAAGGCGATTCCTCATCGAGCTTAGCTCGAAGTCGAGTGGCATGCGGGAGGCGGCAACAACGGCTGCACCCCACCGTGACACTTACCCCCACCACACCACCCCAGGGTAGATCCGTTACTTACAGCAGCGACTAACACAGATAGCTCCAGAATGCAGCAGATTGACCGCTCTCTGGTTGCGGATTATCACCATATCCGCTGTAGTTCTTTTCCCTGATGAGGCTAGAGGGGCCAGTGCACCCTTAGGAGAATCAGGCACCGAATGTGCGAAACATCGAAGCACGGTTCGCTACAGTGTGTCGTACCTCACCCTACTACCCCAACGCTTCTGACACTATGCAAAAGACAAAGTGGTCTCGTGAAAGCTTGCGCTTGGCACTCAACATGCTCTCAGCAACTGTCGGTCTGGCGTTCTTGCACGTTCCATTGGACGATCTCCTGTATCCTCACCGGACTGTATGAGACCAGCGCGAAAAAGAAACAAGAAAGAAGACCTCAGAGCAGAAGAGACACGATGCTCAGCACGTCGAAGATGTGTATATAAGACCTGACAACCTCGACTCCAAGTTTAATCATCAGCTCATCACAACAATCACTACAACCAGCATCTTCACTTCCACAACACCACTCACTCTTACAACTTCCAATCGTTCTTTCGATCCCAACAACAACTTCAAAATGCAGTTCTTCATCACCATCCTCTCCCTGGCTGTCGCCGTCTCCGCTGTTCCCCAAGGCAACGGCAACGGAAACACCATCTGCAAGGGTGGAAACGAGAGGGCAGTCTGCTGCGCTTCCAAGGATGCGCTCGTCGGCGCCCTTGAGTGCGTCACTCTCCCTATCAGCGTCCAGCAGCCCGGCTGCGATGGCAGCATCCGCTGCTGCGACATCGGTGACCAAAAGGATGTGAGTCACCCCCTTTCACGCTCGCCTCCATTAACTCATACTAATCTGCAACTCCAACAGGGTATCGTCAACGTCAATGCCCTCAACTGCGCCAGCGTCGCATAAACGATCCGCTTACACATTTCGAGGCATGGAACAAATTCGCAGGAAACGGGGATGGAAGCTAGAGGAGGGCATGTCACACTGTTCGCAGGGGCTTTTCTGGATTTCTACTTCTCTCATTCTGGGTCTTCCGATGATTTCTTCTCTTTCTTTGGAGGACCGCTTTATGAAGTGGTGTCTCAAATCTTGGGCGTTCAATTTTAGACATGGGCTAGATGTTTTGGTGTTTAGTAGAAAATGCGATTCATGATCAAACCACAAATCTGTTCCTGCGCTCGAGAGCTTGATGCCTCATTCGGAAGTGTACTGTCTGCTCTTTTACGCTAGAGATTGCAGTTGCAGAATCGCTCGCTTGTCAAGCCTGGAATCCATACAGCCTAGTCTTCTCAGCCTTGCTACTCAACCTGTTCCTCCACGCTAAGAATTGCAGTGCAGTGGAATGGTGGGATGCAGCTGAGTTCTCGCTTCGGTGCATCCCCCGTACATGCTTGCATACGCGATATCCTTCCGGTGAACCTTGGAAGAGAAGCACACTTGCCATTGGCGACACCCTTGCCATCCGTCATGCACACGCTCGCTTCCACACTTTCGAGGTCAGCCATCGTCAGCGCTAAAGATTGCAGTGGAATGGTCCATGCCAGCGCACATTTCTCAAGCCTTCCAACCATTTGCTGTTCTTTCTGTCTGTGACGACAAGGGCTACGTCTTAGCCTTGCCTGTTGACATGCTCTTCTGCACTAAAGATTGCAGTGCAAAGCGCCACAATAACCGAGCTAAATGCCTCGCCCTCCTCCTCCAGATCAAAGGCAAGATAAACAGAGATCGAGCCAGAGAAGACAGGAGATTCGATCATGTGACGTGAAGCTGTCGACTCTCCTGCTACACCACACATTCACTCTCAAAAACTCTTTCCTGATTTAGCAAGTCTCGCTTAAGCCATCAATCACAGTGACATTCAGAACATTACGATGCATCACCTAAATCCCACGTGTTCTGGCGACTTTTGTACCAAGTCTCGAAGAAAACGTGACAGCAGTCCCGATTAGGCAAGTTTTGGCTTGGCGTGGATTTCAGCAAATAGCACCAATGACTTGGTGGACCTGCGTGAAGTTGCGACCCAGCGCCTGCTCTCCGCTACAGCCACCAGCTACCATCTCAACAAACATGGTCCATGCAAATCATGTGGAATGAGATGGATCATATGAACCGCACGTAACATCAAAGCAGGAGAAAGAGGTGATAACATGACTTTTATATTCTATGCATTGAATTCCCGGTATATCATCCCAAGAAACAGATCCAAACGCCGATCATGCATTCATAACCTCCATCCCTTTTGCCCTTTCCCCTTCCTCATGCTCATCGATATGTCTAATCCACATACTCAGATCGCACCTTCTTCGCTCTCCTCTTGTTAGCCTTGAAGTGCTTCTTGCTGTTCATCTTCATCTCAGTGGGGTCGACATCTGCCTCAAGCGCAGCGACCATCTTAGCTTTCCTTCCGCTCAACTCCTTGCCCTGCTCACTGTACTTGTAGTGGAAAGGCTGGTTTACCCTGCCCATACCTTGTCCAGGGCCGAAGAAACGCTTGTCCATGCGTTGTGTCTTCTCTCCCTGGACGGGTACGCCGGCGTCGAGCTCGTCGTCCATCAGCGACATGTCATCGTCTAGTGCACCCGCGAGGGATGTGTTGCCAGGGAGAGAGGCGAGAGGGTGATGTCGGCGCTTAGCGGGAAGATGGTCGACGTCGTAGAGTTCGCGGTTGAAGTGCTTGGGGTCTAGCGGTGGGTCGGTGGGTGGAGGGTGGCAGAAGAGAATCTTGCCCTTGACGTAATCTTTGAGGATGTATCGCGCCGCTCGAGACTCGTCTGGCTGACCAAGACCTTGGGTGGAGAAGCCTCTGGCGATGGCGTAGGCACGTAGAATTTCTTCGGATGTCAGAATACCAGTTCCGCCTTCCTCCATAGGTCGGGGGTGGATCTTCATTCCATAGAGCGCCTCAAGGAAGGGTTGTGGGATGCGGCGTGCGACAAGACCCGCAGGACCAGTGTACTCGCGAAGTTGGTCGATCGGCAGTACACCAGCACACACGAGCTCGGCCTTGGTTGTGGCGAAGTTGGGGAACACTAGACCAGGACAATCGCAGAGCATGACCTTGTCGCTGAGATGGATAGTCTGGAAGTGCTTGGTCTTTCCGGGTGTTGCAGAAACTGACACCTTCTTTGCGCCAATCAATGCGTTGATCGTGGACGACTTTCCGACGTTGGGGTAACCGACAAGACCAATAGACGTCTTTCGCGGCTCGCCGTTTGGTCCGGTATCAACATCAGGCGCATGTTGGAGGAACAGGGCTTCAAGGTCCTCTGTTGTCAGTATCCGCGTGCGCTCGTCGCCGTCCGCCTCTGCTTGACTCGCGCCCGGTACGTCGACTGTCTCTTCGTCCACCCATTTTTCCTTCTCTTCCTGCTTGTCTTGCAGGTCAATCTTCTTGGCTTCTTTTGCGAGCTTGTCGTCTTCTTCCTCGAAGTCTTCGCCTTCATCAGTCACAAGCTCATCAGAGTCGCCGGCATCGTCCGATTCGTCGTCGCTTGCCTCCAACTCAGCACGAGCCTCGTTCATCTCTTTGGCGAGTTCAGCCGAGAAGAACTTGTAGTTGATGCCAGCTTCGGTGAAGTAGTCGGCCCAAGCTTTCCGTTGCTCCAGCGTCATCATATCCGCCTTGTTGACCAGCAACAGATTGTTCTTCTTCGGGTCCACCTCCTTGACGTAGTCCTCCAAATCCTCTGACCGGAACATGAGCGGGTTACGGGCGTCCA